TTAACCTATTGATGGGAGCATCACTTCGCTTTGTGGTGGAGAGGTTTCGAAATGAATTGGGTTGTTTAGGTGAAGACTTCATCTAATTTCTAATGAAAAAATATGGGCAATCCAGATAATAACTCACCCATGCCTCATCCCTCATCCTCACTGGGAGAAAAGCACTCTTTGCAGTTACTTTCTGTGAACTCACTCAGGTGTAGGACCAATGAGTTACCCCTCCATCTTGTGCTCTTTAGGAAATGTGTCTTTCTCTTACAAACAGGGCAGGTCACTGAAAGAGGAATGCAAGGAAATGATTGATTTTTATGTCACTATTAGTGTAGAAGACTGTACTATAAAACAATATTCAGCTGATTAAAGCATTCCAACAAAGAGTAAAGTTCCTTTACTCCCTCCCAGGTATATGCGACCAATGTTCAATAATTACCAGAGTTTGTGCTGAGTTGACTCAAGTAGTGAGGTTTTTGTGTTTACACAGACCATTACTTAACTCCTGGATAATCTTTTTTCTTCATATGGAACCTTTTATTTCTCTTGGGGTTCACTTTTCTCCATTTTGCTTCTTGTGAGCCCCTCCCCAGAAAATGAGAGGAAAAGAGGTTAAAAAATTAATTGTTTTTTTTTTAAACTAGTTATTAACAGCTCTGGTAAGTAGTTTAGTGAGAAAGGGTCGAAGCCTGATTTGAGGACTGTTTCAAGAATTTAGTTAGTCATGTCTTTCCATCTTTCCATACTGCCCCACCCCCATCTCTTCCTATCTTCCCACCTCAGATAATTAAAAGTTGGCTAGATAACGTGTGTTGCCTGATGCCCTCTTGTTGCTGTGCTTTTTTCTTTTTTGTGCTTTTCTTATTAGTAACAAGAAGTGAGATTTTGTAAACACATGCTATTTGTGTGACTCCTATTACTCACTTGAAGCAATGTCAGTCTTTTTTCCACTGTGGTCTATGTGTCTGAGTCAGAGGGAGCCCTACAAGAGGTTTCTTTGAAAAGATGGTTCCCTCCCAGTCACTCTTGACTTACTGCCAACATTGCAGGGCGTAGTTACGAACAAATCTTTTTTTTTTCCTCCTTCTTCTTTAAAGCCAGACTGATTCATAGAAACTCCTTTAAAACTCAGTAAAAAGACACCGCCCCATCACACATCCCAACACACCAGCAGAGGAAACATAACCTCAGCAGTCAGGTCCTTCCTCTCACTGCTGTTGCATACTCAAGAAGAGAGAACCGAGGACAAAAGCCAGCTCTTGTCACTCAAGGTGCTTGCTGCAGTCATTCCCTTTCTCAAGGTAAGAAACATTTTTGGAGACTCAGAAAAAGTTTCTTTTCTTCCCTTTCCGTCTGTTCCCCTTCTTTGGACCTAACCCAACCTTGCTTTTTACGTCTCTGCATTTCTGCATTTGTCTCAACTTTGCAATCTTGGGGTAGCTTACTGGGTGATGAGGAAAAATGAAACTTTTTTTCTATGTGGCTGAGAAATCTGCAAACCCTCACACATATCGACCCTACTACTTGTTCCTACTAGTAGGAAGGAGAAAAGCCGGAGAATCAGGGGACAGTTTGTTTATTATAGTCACTGAGCCTGCATTCAAAGGTGTGAGGAGCTGGGACTTTGGGACAATCTGGGCACTTCTCCATAGAGGAAATGCTGCATACCTTTGAGATGACATATTTAAACTCAGTTTTCAACTGCTCCATTCTGATTTCAAAAATGCTTCAGTACCAGGATTTTTTTTGTTTTTTTGCATATTTGGTTTTGGTTGACTCTTCAAAAAATGTTTTGTAAAAAATTAAATTAAATTAAAAATTTTAAATTCTATTTTTTTAATGGAGAGGTGATTTTGTTCATTTATAAAGTTATTTTCTTTTATTTAATATTATTTCTGCTATTCAAAAACCTCTGGTTTGAAAAGAGAAATAAGTTAAAAACTAAAATGCAGTTCAGGAAAATAAGTGTTTCAAATAAAATTCAGGAATGGTATAGTTGATCAAATCAGACTCCTGTCTGATCTGAGTTACAAAGAGCTCTTTATTGGTAGGGTGGAGGGTGGCCACACTTCATTTGTTGCTGAGAAATTAGTTCATGGATTTATGTTTCCACCTGAGAAGTAGCTGCATTTCAGAAGTGAACAAGGAAATTTTAAATCAGAAAACATAATGAATTTGTATAAAAAAAGATGACAGTAATTTTTCTGGATAGAAAGTAGCAGGCTGCTTTTGAATGGTTATTCTATTACTATTTTAGAAAGCAGAGTGACATGAACATGAACACTATAGCAAGTAGAGATAGTACTTTTGAGAAAGAGAGAGTCTTTTTTTATCTCTTTAGCTTTTCTATTCTCTGATTAGAGTGCCTTTGGCCAGGTGTGGCCCATTTCAACATCTCTACTATAATTAATTTTTTTCCCCCTGCATAAACAAAACAAGGGAGAAAAGACAAGATACAACCTGTTTAGAGAGGTTAGGTTTTTCCCTTAAGCAATTCAACGTATTTGGAGATTTTCAATCCGACAGTTTCTAACCAAAGCTTGCTTTAAAAAGGCCTGGGAGGTAGAAAAAGAAGGGTGAGGCAACCTGTTGTAAATACAGGCTATCCCGTAAGTCTAAGTTGCAGTTTTGAGCTAAGTTTAAGGTCAGGTTAAACTTTAAGTTAAGCTTAAAACTGCAACTAAGACCTTTGGGACACTGTGTAGAGAAGCTGCTATTTTTGCTAAGAACTCTCACTATCTTGATGCCTTTGCCAGTACATAAAAGGAAACTATTATTTTAATCACTCATTTTCTAATAATGGTTTTGTCCCTTCATAGTACTAATCCTTTCTGAATTTTTTTTTTGAAGTCTATCTGCTAAGAACTTTGAGAACAAATAAGTGGTAGGAGAGTTGTTCTGTGGCTACTAGTGGGTTTCCCCCTCTCCCAAATTTTCAATTAAAATATGAATTGTTTTTCTAGTGGTTTCTGCCCTCCATCCTTAGAAGGTGGTCAAGCTCCAGACTAACTTCTGAAAAATGGGCTGAGGAGTGGACATCTAATTAGAAGGACTCCTAAGAATTAAGATGGGTTTTAGAGCAATGAGGGCCTAAGCTAAATTCTGTTGGTGGGACGTGAGGGATGTTGTGAAGTTAGAATGAACAAGTTTCGGTAACTGATTGGACAGGGGAGGTAAGGGAGAGTAAAGAGTCAGGGATACCTCTAAGGTTTTGAGTCTAAATGATTGGGTGGATGGTGATGCCCTCCATAGAAATGGGCTTATTCCTTAATTCTTCAGGGCGTAGCCCAGACTGACATGGCTCCAGAGGGAACATTCAGGCTTAAGTGGCTAACCTAGTCCATTGATCCGAATGGGTCGAGAGCAGTACTAGCTGCATCTTGGTAGGGAGGACCTTTGTGGAAACCATGTCGGTTCTTTAATCATAGTGGGGATTCCAACCTACTCTTGGTTAAGTTTAGTATGGTTCTGGGGTGGGGTTCAGTCAGTATTAAGCCTAATGATTCTATTTAGGGCTGGACTAAAGTCCCAAGGGGAGAAAAAGACCTTCTCAGACTGGAGACAATACAGAATTGGTATACTCATTATATCCTTCCCTTCTCTGTCTGTCTCTGTCTCTTTCCATCAGTTTAGACCAAAGACAAGATTAAAAAAATGCTAGCAGGTATTTGTTGGTCCCTGTAACTGTTCACCTAGTCAAGTACATATAAACTATTTGAATCAAAACTATTTCACACACTAAACATAAACAACAGAACTCATTCTCTGATTCACCACACATTGACTCACTGTCATATAACTGACTCAACCAAAGGTCTAGATATAAGTACACACTTACAGACATATACTCAAAGATACTTGTTGACACACCTAACTAATGGTCCCCCAGAGGTCACATTCAAGGTATTGTGGTATAATAGACAGTTAGCTTTGGAGTCAGGAAAACCAGACTTCAAGTCTCACTTTTGACATATAGTGAATGCGTCACCTTGGACAAGTCACTAATTCTCTCTCTCAGTGTTTCAAAGAGAAGTTGCAGACCTTTGGTAGAAGGACATTTCCTCATCAAGTAGTCCTCTATCACCATGAAATCATAGACCCAGTCCCTATCCCTTGGAAAAACTCATATTTATATTGTACTTTAAAGTTTGTTTATAGTATATTTTCTTCACAACTCTGTCAGGTAAATAACGCAAGTATTATTCTGATTTTGCAGCTGAGGAAATTAAAGATCAGAGAATTTGACTTTCCCAAGCTCCTACCTAAACCTAGTAAATGTCAGATTTGGGCCTTGAACTCAAGTCTTCTGACTGTAAGCCTAATATTCTTTTTACCAAACAGTTCTGGAAACCTATCTAACCCCTTGGGCTGTCCCATGACTTAGTCCATGGTTTGTCTAGTTATACCTACTAGGGTTTAAGAGCAGGGGTGAGGAGCCTGCAGCCTTGAGGCCACGTGTGGCCTTCTAAATGCTTGAGGGTGGCCTTTTGGAATACAAAATCCAAAATCCAATGGATAAGAGGCTCTCATCAAAAAGTCTGCTAACCACGTTGCTCCTATCTTATTTCCACACTGCTAACAGGCAATCCCCCTATTAGTAGCATTCTTATTCTCTTTCCCTGGGGAAAACTGAATGATCCTTGATCTACAAGTAGAACATAGTTTTCATCTTTCAGACATCAAACTTTCCAGTCTTCCAGTCTTTTCCTCACTCCCCACCAGGGAGGAAGAGTATCCCAAGTCTCTGGACCATACCTATGATGCAAATAGGAGAAAATGAATAAAATCCAAATGGGGTGTTTCCTCCAAAACTGTAATTAGCTCTTCACAGTGTCATAGAGCAGAAAAAACAGTGTAGTTACAGTTCCCAATTCTGGTCCTGTGTTGCTGTGTGATTTTGGGTAAATTATTTAACCTGTCTGGGAATTAGGATGTTGATATATGAAATAAGAGGATTGAGCTTAATGTCTAAATATTCTTTTAGCTCTAACAATCTACCAATTTTTACTTTTATCATTTTGGTAGGAGACAGGACACCAGGAGACACACCAGGAGACATCACCCTCACCCTAGTAGATTGAATAGAAATAGGCAATGGCTACTTCCTGGCTCACGTCAACAGCTGGATTAGCTCTTACACTTGAGTGGGAAAAGAGTAGAAAGAAGCAAAAAGTTGCATTTGAAAGGGCGTTCTACAGAGTATACACCCTTCCCCACAGGGCCCCCAGAAACAGCAACATCCATTCAGAAATTCCTCATGCATCCGGTCTGGTTGGCTTTTCTTAAAAGGTCCTCAATTGCTACATTAATTGAATGCAGATTGTGTGCCCCCAAAGGAGGTGGGAAGGGGGCGTTGAAAAAGGAATGGATAAGACACCTGGTAGACACTGTGAGTAGTTAGGCATCTGCTAGGAACCAAAACAGGGAAGAGAACTGAACAGGTCCTGGGAAAGAAACTCCACCCGTTTCTCAAGAACAGACCCTGCAGCATGAGGGTGTGGTTGTAAAGGGCAGTGTGTGTGTGTGTGTGTGTGTGTGTGTGTGTGTGTGTGTGTGTGTAAGATTTCATGGGTTTATGAAAGACAGAGAGAGACAGAGACTGAGAGACAGAGACAGATAGATGGACAGAGACACAGAGAGACAGAGAGAGACAAAAAGAGACAGATAGATGGAGAGACAGAGACTTAGGGGGAGAGAAAAGAGAGAGAGAGGAGAGACAAGGGGGAGAGAAGAGAGATAGAAACAAATTTTTGGAGAGACACAGAGACAGAGATAGAAAGATAGAGACAACAGAGACAGTAATAGAGAGAAGCAGAGAGAGAGACAGAGAAGAGGGAGAAAGGGAAGAAGAGAGAAACTGGAGAAGATGACAGATATATATATTGAAAGAGATAGCCTAGAAGGGGAGGTAGATAATAAATAACACATCTACAGTACATGGACACTATAAGATGGGTGTATAAATATTGTTATCCCTATTCAATACTGAGAGAACAAAGATCCTTAGAGATTAAATCACCAGTTTATGGTCACCCAGCGAGACAGTGACAGAGCCAGGATTCAAACCAGGTCACTTGACTCCAAGTCTCAACATTCTTTACCCTTGCTGTTTTCCAAATAAGATCCAGAGAGTCAGAAACACAGGAGGAGAGAGAAAGAAGTGCCTGGGGAGAAGTGGGAAAGATGCTTTTACTATAAAGTGTTACCTGGTGGTAAAAATGCAAGTTTTCATGGATGTTCAAGCTTTTTTTCTTTTTTTTTCTTTTTTTCCTCCCTTCCCAGTTTGGAATTCGTGTATCAA